TGCTAGGAAGAAGGTATTATATATACTATACACTAGTCTCGCTATATACCAGAAAATCTAGGTAAAGGACCTACTAGTAATAGACTACTAGGTAATAAGGTAAATAGCTAATACACACCCTATATCTAAGGCAATATCAGGCCCCCCGATATAAGGTTAATATTAGAATACTAGGAAAGGAAGGGGCTACCTAGCTAGCTAGAAATATAGTGAAAAATCTAAAATTCTTACCGATTTGGATACATACCTGTTTCTAATGTTCAAGAAATAAACATAATAGGTTCCTTGGCGGCTAGTTTGCGGCGTGAACCAAAAAAGCTGCGGCGTCAAAATAGCACCGAAGCAGACTGGTCTAGGCGCTAATTATTAAATTGAAAGCCCCCCCCCGTATCGGCATTATAGCCTAAGTCTAGTGTTCCTCTAAAAAACATGTTATATAGGTAAAACGCTAAGGCGTATAACTTTCCCTATGTTAGACCCCCCGTCCTAGGATTAAGGTATTATATAGACAATACACTACCTTCTATATATAGTAAATAGCTAACTAACAGACCTAGTAATAGTAGAGCACTAGCTAATAATGTTAAAAGGTAATAAATACCCCTCTATCTTAGGTAATAGTAGACCCCCCGGAGTAAGCTTAGCATTATATTACTTAGAAAAGTACGGGCTATCTAATTATAAAATAATTATTATAATAACACTAGGAAGTGATCGAGTAGACTACTCCCGATTAGTCAAAAAAGTGTTAAAAACCGTCCTTTAGAGAGACCTTAGGTGGCACTCTCAATTATATATATCTCTACACTCTGATATATATCACTACAATATACGTCTAAACTTTTACTAGTAGGAAATAAGGTTTCCTAGCGTCCTAATTAGGTCTAGCTTATAGCCTATTAGCTAATAATGTCTACTACTATATTAGATAGACCATAATATACTAGTATACTACCTTTTACTAGAAATCTAAGGTTTAACCGCTAATAACTCGCCTACTAGTCGACCTACTAGTTTATAAATAGTATATTTGAAATCAGCTGACTTTTCTCTATCGAATAGACCCCTTATTGAATTTGTAGTATATAGGACTAGCTAGTTAAGGTGCCCGACGTGAACCCTTCTGTTCACGTGGCCGCTAAGAGTAAAATACGGGGTGTAAGATACAAATACGGGGTAATCTATTTAGTAGGGGCCGCTATAGATAAAGGTGGGTATCCGATTACGGTAATAAATCCCGTCGGTCGCAACGCATGCAAGGTTTTCACCCATTTTTGATCATCCACCACACCACCATTATTAGTCTAATCGTGGTCAAACTTTCACAATTCCTAGATTCAATAGTTAAATAGGCCGTGTCTAATTTATAGACTAATCGGAGCAATACGTAACCCGTGGTCGTAGAGTAAATATCGAACGTTAGTACTGCGACTGGGTGACCCCATCAAAACTTTTCACCAATTTTTGATTATAAACCACACTACCATTATTAGTCTGATCGTGGTCAAACTTTCACAGTTCTTAGAACTAATAGTTAAATAGACCGTGTCTAATTTATAGACTAGTCGGAGCAATAGATAGCCCGTGGTCGCCGAGTAAGTGTCGCACCTATAGTACTATAACCACCCAAAAAGGTACAAGGAGGTACAACACCAAAATATTTCAAACGTATACATCTTAATAACTAGAAGGCTGTGCAAGCTCCGAAGCAAATGGGAGATACCTTATATATACGTCTATAACCTATGAGAGTTTTAGACCAATCGGAGCTAACTAGACCTCAGGACCCTGGCGAGGAAAGGAACCTGAACCCAGGCGTGTGCGTACCGTTATGTTCTCTTTTGTCCCATAGTTAAGGGCATGCCAAGACCTGAACTCTGGCAGAGTTCACCCACCCCCGTGGGATAGAGTAAACGTCGAACCTTTGGTACTGCGACCGGGTGACCCCATCAAAACTTTTCACCAATTTTTGATCATCTACCACACCACTATTATTACTCTGATGTTAGTCAAACTTTCATATATCGTAGATCTAATACTTAAATAGACCGTGTCTAATTTATAGACCGATCGGAGCAATACGTAGCCTGTGGTCGCGGAGTAAATGTCAAACCTATAGTACTGTAACCACCCAAAAAGGTACAAGGAGGTACAAGACCAAAATGCTTTAAACGCGTATGACTCAATAACTAGAAGTCTGTGCAAGCTCCGAAGTAAATGGGAGATACCTCACGTATACCTCTATAACCTATGAAAGTCTTAGACCGATCGGAGCTGACTAGACCTCAGGAGTCTGGCGAGGAAAAGAACCTGGAGTCAGGCGTAGCCGTACTTTCGGGTACCATAGTTAAGACCCAAGCCCTAACCTGGAGTCTGGCAGACTACAGCACCCCCCGTGGGATAGGGTAAGTCGAAGCTTTAGCGACGAGACGGCGAAGCGACGATATACTAATAGTGATAGGGATTAGCTAGAGCAATCTATAACGGTTATAGATAACTACTTTATAGGACTTAGCGATATCCTACCGAATAGTTAGTAAAACGCTAGAGAAATAATAATAGAACACCGTACCTTCGCTAGCTTCTTATCTAAAGTAATGCTAAACTACTTACGGTGACTATCTAAGAGGACGTTAAAACCGGTAAGTAGGGCCTAAATAGCCTAGACTAGGTCACTAAAGATAGTATTGTCTAAATCGAAAACTTCGTTATCGTCCTTATTGTCCTAGAAAGGCTTAGCCTAGTCGAGAATACACTAGAGACGTATCGTATCACTAAGGATACCTTCGTTTACCTATAGAGAAACGCTAGTTAGCCGCTATTATAACACTATATATATCGGGAACACTTATAGGCTCGCAATTCTTATTACGACTAGCGCACTAACGGTATCTCTTTGATAATAAGCTGTCGTCCTAGTAGGGGATCACTAGTGGTCTACTAGTGTCCTAGTTCTCTAAAAAGGTCCGGAAATAGTGTATATACCACGCTATATATTGGAGATAGGCGATAGGGCGAAGGGGGCGGTTCTTCTTCTTAACTCCACTAGTAAAGGCACAGCGGAGACTAGTAAGAGAAGTAGGTCTACTAGGAGTGGGAGTGCTAGAAGCGCTAGGAGTAGGAGTCTTAGAACTAGTGATTACCGAGCGAGCTACTAGCGAGAATTTAGGTACACTAGAGGTTTCCTCCTACTTATCGTCTAAGCTAGAAATCACACTCTTAACCTTAGATAGAGTGGGCGAACGACTAGGAGGAGCTAGGGCTACTAGGGCCTTGCTATAACCACGGCTATAACTATAACCTATTCCGCGGGGAGGTATAATGATTAGCGCATAGTAGTTAGATCGCTACTAAAACTACGGCAAAATAATAGCGGGTTAGTAACGTGTCGTTAGACTTAGACATAGGGATGGTTATTACACTTACCTAAAGATATGATAGCTAGAATCTAGAGAAACACTAGAGAAACGATAGCGACGTAAGAACGTGTCGCTATTATAGAAAATAATAAGGGAAAAGGAAAACTAAAAGGTAAACAATAGGGGATTTATACCTATAAGGATAAATTTATAACAAAGCCCTATAACCCTAAACAAACAAACGTAGAAACAAACACGTTAAAGACGCTTTATTTTACGCAGTTTTAGCTATATTAAAGAAGCTTTGTTTACTATAACAAAGCACACCACCTATACTAACAAATAACCCTTACCCCACTAGGAAATCATGATGCTTTTTAGCCCTATCAAATTCCTGCCTTAGGCACCAATCTTCCTACCTATAATCACTTATCTTTACACTATCGTCTCCCTATCGTCTCACTGTCTCTACGCAATTGCCGTGTCTTCTGCTAGAACTAGCTACCTTTTCCCACTAGGTTTTTAATAGGCTACGTTCTGTATGCTTCACCACGGGTGCGGACACCCGTACTGGACGGGGGGATAATTGTAACGGAGTCCTTAGGAATCACGTACAGATCTCTTACACCCCTCTCACAGACTCAGAGGATCAACATGATATAGGTGTCGACACGTCAGCGTTCCTCACCGCAACGCTGATCCCCCATATTAAATAGTCTACTCCAGGAGAACCTAGAGGTTCCCTAAGAATCAGTCTCTGTATTCCTCCAATATACTACTTGCTTCCCAGGCATCTTCGTCTTACCTAGTTGACAGGCTCTATCCTGCAAATACTAGAACCCCTTTCTTTACATTTAATTCGTCCAAAACCCTAAAGTGACGCCTCAGGCCCCGGTCGCAACCCCAGCTGGCCTAGTTGCCCGCACCCTATCAAAACATCTCCAATTTTCAATCGCCCTTTTCTCGATAACCAGTGGACTAGGCTTGCTAAAATGAAAATGGGAGATATTCTACATACTCTATTATAACTTGCCAAAATTGTAGACAAAACGGGTGTGATTTAGACCCTAAACCCTAGCAAGGAAATTAGACTGAACTCAGGCGGGTCCCACTTTTTTTTCCCCATAGTTAACGGAAACCCTAACAGCGAACTCTGCCAGAGTTCAGCACCCCCCGTGGGATAGGAAGGGAAGAACCATGCAATTTGCCGAATCTGGGAATAAGCGATCTTAGATCATCATTTGGGCCCGTTTTACCCGACACAGGGTCTTTAATAGGGTACTATTCTACCTCTTTCCAATATCATAATACTGAAGAACGCGACTCTATGTCAACCCTTGCCCGCAGATTAGGCCGTAACATCATATGAGGTTACTAGAAGGGGAACTATATTCCATGGAACCCCAGAATGGATGGATCTATGCGATACGTCACTTGGCTGGGATACTATGAAACATTCCATAAGCAGGACAGAGCCGTTTCAGAGAGATTAGACAATGGAAAGAGGAAATAAGAAAGATGGATATCTATATACCAAACTTGATAAAGGAAACCCTGCCTGATGCGTGCCCTAGGGCAAGTGTATTGCCATTAACCTTGAAACAGCTGGGTCGAGATTCTACAGGAAGCCAAAGAACCTTTTCACCTGTCAATCTTATCCATTGGTCCTGCCCGATCGAGATTTCTAGATTCGCACCAGGTGGATGGAATGTAGAAATGTCATACCCAGATTCAATGTCAAGCCAGCCGGAATTAGTACGGAGATGTGAACCTTCGTAGGAAAATTCTAGCGTAGTGACTACTTTCTCAACATTCCAAGTACGTGCCAGCGCGCCTGTCACCACATCCCACAGCCGCACCGTGTTATCTTTAGATCCCGACGCCATCAGCCGGCTGTCGGGCGAAAAGGCTACCGAGGTAACTATTTCCAAATGGCCTTCAAGCGTCCGGGTAAGTGTGCCTGTCGCCACGTCCCAGAGACGCACCGTGTTGTCAGCCTGAATGAACACGTCTGTCGCCATGTCATATGGCTGCACACCAGAGGTCGATGCCAAGAGCCGGCCGTCGGTCGAGAAAGCCACTAACGAGATCGCACTTGAGTGACCTTCGAACTGCTGAGAAAGTGTTCCCGTCACAAGGTCCCAAAGCTGCACTTTACCATCATTCGTGCCGGTCGCAAGCAGCCGCTCATCGGGCGAGAAGGTCCCCGATGAAGCGTAACTTGAGTAGCCTTCAAGTGTATTGGTAAGCGCACCTGTAGCCGGGTCCCATAGCCCTATTATATTATCACCAGAGCTTGATATAAGCACCCGACCGCTAGGCGAGAAGGCCACCCACTCAACTCTCTCCGAATGACCTTTCATTGGCTGTGTGCGCGCGCCTGTCGCCGGGTCCCAGAGCCGCACTGTATTGTCACTGGAGCCGGAGGCTAATAGCCGGCCATCGGGGGAGAAGGCAACTGAATGAACGAGATATGAATGACCTTTAAGCGTGTGGGTGGGTGCTCCTGTCGCCGAGTCCCAGAGTCGTATTGTTTTATCGTTAGAGCCGGATGCAAGTAGCCGACTATCAGACGAGAAGGTCACCGATAAAACTTGATTCGCAGAGCTATCGATCTTCCGGGTAAGCGCGCCTGTTACCGGGTTCCAGAGCCGTATTATATTATCATTAGAGCTCGACGCCAGTACCCGGTCGTCTGGTGAGAAGGTCACTGACCAGACGAACGTCGGGTGGCCTTCAAGTATCTGAATAAGTACGCCTGTCAACGGGTCCCAGAGCCGCACTGTCTTATCATCAGAGCCGGATGCTAGTAGGCGGCTGTCGGATGAGAAGGCCACCGATACAACTGAACCTATATGACCTTGAAGTGTCTGGGTAATTCCGCCTGTCGTAGGGTCCCAGAGGTATAGTATCTTATCAAGAGAGCCGGATGCTAGCAGCCGGTTATCTGGCGAGAAGGTTACTGACAAAACCCATTTTAGGTGGCCTTCAAGCTTCTGAATAAGTACGCCTGTTAACGGGTCCCAGAGCCGCACTGTCTTATCATCAGAGCCGGATGCTAGTAGGCGGCCGTCGGATGAGAAGGCCACCGACCTAACCGGACCTAAATGACCTTTGAGCGTCTGGGTGAGTACGCCTGTCGCCGGGTCCCAGAGTCGAACTGTGTTATCGTGGGAGCCTGACGCCAGTAGCCGGCCGTCGCGCGAAAAAACCACTGATTCAACCTCCTTCGAATGGCCTTCGAGAGTCTGTACTTCTGCCCCCCATCTTTCCTCAACTCGTGGTAACTGGCATATCCAAGAAGGAAGCTCTTCTTGAAAATGCCTACGAATTATTGACGTTTCAGGTGCAAATATGAGTGCCGCGCAATAAACTTGAAGTGGCGCCTGATCAACTATCTGGACATTCTTCAGAATGAATCGCTTTGCATCGTGAAGAAAATTCAGATTCCTAGAAGAGCCGTCGCCCTACAGCTGTCAGTGCTGATCATATCTGGCTATGGCCAGAACTTACTGATACGACCGTTTGGAAGTCATTAAGAATCCCAAGCATTTCCGACGCACGGCCGAGGAGGCTCATTGCTTCCACCCAGTGCAAAAAATGCGAGCGAAGAAATGAGAAAGCATCGTAAATCAGATCAGCCAAGCCAATGCATCGTACCAAATGATATGCCCAATACCGACAGGCATATTTCAGTTCCGGAGTTACATAATGCCGAATCGAATCCTTGCTTAGGTCGTTGCATTCCGTGCCTTCGTTTGGTAGATGACAAATATTTTTATGGAGGCTGCGCTGCATGATCTGAAAGCATCGAGCCGTAAGACGCTGATTCGCGTATTTCTCATCGATCCAGAATTTGCTTTTGTCTTTGCGATGATCTAACAGAAAATCTCGGAAGGACAGGTGAAGAAGCCTGACGGGTGTATCAAAATCGTTCGGTACACTAAGGACCGAGTGGAGCTGGTCTAATCGACATTTAACATCGTCTGGCTCTCTATCCACTAGCTGGCCAAGGGGCTTGATTGAGAGCGGAGTAGCAAGAATAATGATCACACCAACTATCTCCTTGAACTCATCGCGTAATTGCTGCGACTCGGTTTCATCCTGGCCGGATAGAAGCTGCTTTAGCACCGGAATATATGTGCTATCCATCCTAGATGCGTAGGTCGCCTGGTCTGTCAATATCGCCTCAAGCCGCTTTTGAGGATTCCATTTCGAGTCCCCGATAAAACGACATAAGGTAGTAGCTGCAATGAATAAAGGGACGGCCCTAGCAACTAATTTCCGAGTGGCGGCATCGCCGGGCCAGTCTTGTGGAAATGAGCGCGTCTGTTTCAGGCGTCGGAATTGATCCTGAAAATATAGAGCTATGTCATGCTCTATTACTGCTCTTTCGATCTCATGGAGAGTGAAATCCTGATGAGCATCGGTGATCGCTTTGAAGCCCAGCCTGATCGGTAACTCGGGTCTGCTTGTCAATAGGAATCGCAGGTGCACAGCAGTTGACTTTTGAACTTGCGGCAAGAGCCGCAGGACAATTCCTATATCGTCTTCCGAATCACATTCATCTAGAGCATCAATGACAATCACTCTCCTTGCGGTCTCTTCGCGCTGCTCAATCCCAATCAGTGGGAAAAGTAGAAGCCTTTCAAATTGTTCTGTTAAGGCCTTCTCTGAAATATCGGGGTCATCCTTAATTGCATTTTGGACTCTAGGCAGTATTTGAGGTATGCTGTTAACCAGCTGCTTGATTAATGTTGGGAAAAGCTTTTTTGCGGTTCCTCGGTCCTCTTCACCTCTCTTAAAGAAGAAGCTCGCTCCAAGGAGCTGCTGCTGCTGTTTGAGACGACTTGCAACTGTTCGGGAGATCGTTGATTTCCCTGTCCCTGCCATGCCGTTAAGCCAGAAGATGCACTTTCCTTGTGGCGATTTTGCCCACTCGTCAATTTCTTGAAGCAGGTCAATGCGGGTCCCTGGGAGACATTCACTATGCTGATTGTCATAGGAGTCGAATGCTGCTCCTTTTGCAGGTTGTAGTCTGCTAAGGTCTATCTTTTGGTGGATCGAATTCGTAGATCTCCTAAGCCAGCGTCAGAGTTGGTCCTTGATAAAGAGATCGGATTATGGTCCGGGGCATACGCTTGATCGACTTGTAAGGACAAAGAAAACGTTGCTTTGTACCAGTCAAGCTCCTTGATAGTATAGTCTACCTCCGATCTTGCTAGTGGCCATTTCCAGGCTCGAAATCCCCATTGTCTCCGCAATCCCTGTTGCGTTATTTCTGGGTCGATTTTCACTTTCAACTCTCCAAGTACTGATGAGCATTTTGCAATATTGTTAATCAAGTCTTGCGTAGTAGTAAGTGTGTTGCCATTTGGTCCCTGAATCAGGTCATAGAGAGATTGAAGAACTTGGGTCAGGGTGGCGATCTGCTCTTGGAAGCGCTGAATATCCTGCGTTGCGTTCTTGACGTTTTTGAGATATTGCTCACATATTTGGAAGATATTTCCGGCTAACTGGACAACTGCAATAACGCTTGCAGCGCCTGAAAGAGGATCCATGATCAACAAGCCTTTCACAGCATAGATAATGTAACAAGCAAATGGTAATATGTTGCTAAGAATGACAGAAAAAGGGAGTTCATGCCTCTCAAAGAGGGGTAAGCAGCAAAGTGAGGCTGCGAGGAAAACCGGAACCTGATTGGCGCTTAACCAGATCCACTGAATTACGTGGCTACTGCATCTGGTTTGCTCGTGGGGCGAGCCAACTGGAATCACAAGTCACTCAAGAGGAGAAGCGGCGACCGCGTACGCCACTGGAGCGCTATCCGCACGAGCGGCCATTAATATCACCTATATATGAGGCATACTGACTACCAAGTTCCACTACGGACGTCAGTGGTCATGTCCTTTCGGGTTTCGGCCTCTTCCTGTCAACCAGCAGGCAGCACAAAACGTGGACTATTGAGAATGAGCTTATCTATTGTCTTACGCCCGTTTATAAGAAAGTGATTGATTCCCTGTCTGACATGCAAAAGCCCTGTGGCGCCTGGTACGGGCTGTGAGGTTGGAGCTATATATAAGGAACTAGTGTTGCCCTCTGCGAGCTGGTTCCAGTCCATCAACCGCATCACAAACAGCTTGGGCACTTATGGCCTTGCTCCCATACTTACCACCGTGAACGAGATGATCAGCAAGGGGGTAGGTACCTGCTACGAACACATACGAAGGCCGACCTTCAAGGGGCGACATGGTATGAGGAACGTTTCACCGAGACGGGGTTCCCGAACCATTTCTACATCCGATACTCGCTTTACCATCACTACTTTCCATTGATGGCGCTCGGCCGGTACGCACGTGCAATGAGACAACATCGCTGAGTGAATTTGGATCTTCGCAAATACTTAGTCTGAGGATATTCCTCCTATAGAGTCTTAGTAGGAGCCGCGCAAGTCGGTCCCGAATAGCCTCACCTCTTTTCAATATAATTTGAAATTTTATTTCTCGTGCAGAAAGGTCGATCCGTTCGGTAAGTCCCACCATGAGAATTGTAAAAATAAAATTGCTCAAACGCTCAATTAGTGATTAATCCAATTCTGCTCTGACAGTTGGCGAAGAGGTTTACTACGACCTCGATTCGTATCGTCGACCAGTGCCTGCTTCCTCAGCAGAAGCCCAAGGGTGGTTCAATTGTGGAATGATATAGGCTCATTCTTTCAATCATAGTGAATGTCCGGGACGACAACTTGAAAGCCCAATCCCGGCAAACATGCAATGTGACGTTAGCCAATGGTCTGGGCCTTAAGTTGTTCTATGAGGACCAAGATCGGTCATTCTTTAGCGATAAAGGGATTATAGGAGCTATCGGGCGCGAATTCGTGAGAGATATTGGCCAATGGATTAAGTGTGTGAGGAATGTCTGGCTCGGGCCGATGCCATTCCTAGGAAGGAGCTCCCCGGACCCCACAACATTCCAACAGAATGCTTGGTGAGGGATGCGTGGGTTCCGGACAATAAGCTCGAGAGCTGGAACGCCATTCCGACGGGAACTATTCTATAGAACGAGGGCTAAGCTTTCTCTATTTCACTGAGTGCTACTGTACAATCTGGACAAATATACACAATCTGAATATTTGTACTCCAGCCAGAATACGTTAACAATCGGTAGAGCTGAGGGTTCCAGAAGCTAGGAACATGGGCTGTAAGTTACTAAATACATTCCATAGAGAACATTATCTCCCTTCATTCCAAGCCTACTGGAGTTTGAGTCTGGTATACACATTGGGAACAGTACATGAAAGTTATATACTCGAAGCTCCTTATCCCAAGCTTGTTCAACGCTGGCTTTAGTAACCGCCCGTGTTATTCTGACTACACCCTGAAAAGCGCACACAGTCTCACAAGATGATATGTTTCCGTCCCCTTTTCCGAAATATATGCTCTCTTGTGGCGTTACTTCTACTTTTCTTGTGTTTGTTTGCCGGAAGCTCGCGCCAATTCTTACCGAATGCAACAATATTCAGGGTTTGTGACTATGACAAGGGTTTGGAGGGCTTTAGTGCTAACTCACATCCTTCCAGGTTAATACGTCGCAGTTATCCCTGAGCGATGCACCCGATTTTTTCAATGTATACTTGATGTCCTATTGCTTTGGCTTCGAAAAAGAATGTATCGTGGATGATACTTCAAACACAACGACAATTCAGAGTTCGATCACTTCGTGTTCAGACCTAAACCCTCTCTTCCGCTTCGACCCCGGACAAGCTATCCTTGAAGCAATTGGAGACGTTGATGCAATGTCTGAAACCGGCTGGCCTAGCTATTTAAGCGATGACTTCTTTGCTTTGGCTCCTACAAGCCAGGCTATGACCATTCTGTTCATACTGGGCACATGCGCTGTCGCTTTATCCGTTGTTCTTCGCCTGAGTACAGTCCGCTATATCTGGCAGCCTCCGGGATCTCAGACTGTAAATGGCATTGAGCCGCCACCCAACTACCCAGGCTATTTGGGTCCATCTCCTTCAGACATACCTCCATCCAAATTTCAATTGGTTGCCTTCATAGTAAGAGCTATGTAATCCAATACTTGCTTCTGCCGAACGCTAACTTACACACGATAGTCAAGCACCTTTCTCCTCATCATTGCCTCAGTCATCGCGACCATGATCTCCACGGAATTTGTTTCTTTGCTTTCCCAAAGCGGGAGCCCTAAAATCTCAGCTGGGTCTAACAGTAATTTTCTGGGAATGGCATGGACTGCTGTAGTGATTCAAGCCTTACTCACAATTGATGGCCTAGTTGCTCTTATCCGTTACCGAGCTCGTCATTGCCGCTGTGACTGGGAAGAAGAGGTGCCTAAATTACCTGCACCAGAAAACAAAAGGCTGTTTTCTGGATACGACTAACCAGTCGAGTGGTAATACTGTCGCTTAGAATGAAGCACAAACCTGCTGTTTGTTCCTTTTTGTCTTTGATGTTTCAAGTTGTTTCTTTATTTCAGTGTTTCTTCTTTGGTGCCTGGAAGGATTCTTTGTTCAGCCGCGTATACGGGACGGCCACCTGTTCGAACTCTATTCGCATCATCGATGTTTATGCTTTGAATTGAGACTGCGGGTAGAAAAAGTTAATCATCATAGTTGTTGTCCACTTCCATCGTGCATAATTCAAAGCTACGCGTTATCACGCAACTTGTCAATATCTCCGTCTCCGAGTCCTCCGAAGAATTGAGGAACCAGTTGTCGGTGACTAGCGACGCCCGTAGTATAGGCCTTGGCCGTGGAGAAGACATGGAAGCATCGGTCTAATAAAGAGCTTTGATGGCCTCTTCTCGACTAAAGCACCATTCGTGAGGGAAGGACCACTGTGACTTGAACGAGGCTTATTCGATCCTAGCTCTCTAGGAATGCCAGTCTAGTGGGACCCACATTTTTCTCCCATATTGAAGCGGAAACCATAATGCCTAGTCGAGCAGACTGGGGCCACCCCGTGGGATAGGGATCAGTATCAAGTTAGTGCTCCGAGTCAGCTGAAGTGAGACAAATTGGAAGCTCAAGGCTGATTACCTGCTGCAAGGGGCTGTAACTAACGAACAGACCAATAAGCTTAACCGACAAAGAGGGGAAACAGAAAGGCTTAGCTTAGCTGGGGTTTGACTAAACATGGACAAAGTCCTTGCGTACAGAACATCCTTCTGTACTCACACGTCTAATAGGTTATTTTTGCAAATAGAGGCGGATATCGCCTGTAACGGATAGGACGCTTAATAGTACATGTAGTGACATATAATTACCGAAAATGCCACCATTTCTTCGTTAGGCAAACGCAAAGACCAACAGATTCCTTTCCCTAAAACTTAATTGCCTAATATGCGTGGGGTCCTGCTCACAATTGGCTTCTTGGCCGTTGCTACCGCAACAAGGAACCCAAACTGCACTGATGGCCTGTACATGATTGTAGCCAGAGGCACCACAGAACCAGCAGCTGCCAATGAGGAAGGTCTCTACCCAGAGAACTCCGGAAGCCATGGGTATCTTGCACAGCTTATTGCGGCGCATATCAAGGACTCTAGTATCATCGGTGTGGAATACCGTGCCACGTTGAATGAATATATACAGTCAGAGAATCCGGGGGGGG